CGTCGCAGCCGCGGATCTCAATCCCGGTCGAGGAGGAGGTCGAGTATGAATTCGACCAGGCCAAGTTCGAGGAGTATCTCTCATCCTCGTCCGGATCTACCTCCCCCCGCAAGTCCAAGAAGCTCTCCTCCAGGAGAAAAGCTCGTTGGTTCGAAGAAGTTCAGAACGCCAACGAAGCTCTCACCCCGGCTGACGCCAAAGTTGCGTCGGGTGAAGTTCCACCGACCTCCAACGAGGTCAAACCTATTCTTGCCGACGTCTCTACTATTGAGGGCGTTGTGACTCTCTCAAAGAGAGCCCGCCAGAGGCGACGTCAACGCCTTGCGCGGCAACTCGCTAAGGCGATGGAGTCTACAGACGGAGTCCGCTACAACACGGATCTGAAGAATAGGAGAGGCAAACTGCCTCAACAACTGCAGAATGGCGATTCCTCCAAGCCGCCGACGAACGAATGGATCCGGGTCAAACGGAACCATTCGACACTCAAAGAGAGGATTCACAAACGCCGCGCATTGCTTGCACAAGCAAAAATTCTTGTGCAAAAGGCTGAGAAATTGAGGGAAGAAAAAGTGGCCAAAAAGCCGCCATCAACCCGCCAAGTGTGGAGGCTGAAGCAGCCTCCAACTAAAGTTCAACCCCCGGCGAAACAACCCATATCGCCGATAATTCCAGCAACTACTCTGGGAGATCACGCGGAATCATCCCGAAATAAGAAGCCAGTTTTGGAGCGTCTCGGTCCACTTCCCGGTGAGCGAGTCAAAACTCCAGTTCAAGAGCGTTTGGGCCTGATAAAGAAGCCCCGAACGACGCAACATGCTGAGGGTCGCCGTTACCCTCAACATGATAAAGAGACCAGGGCAGCTACACGCACCAACTTGCGCATTGAAGTCCAGGAGCCCGCCGAGGACTCATGCCCAAAAAGGCATGTTACGAGACGCGTGACTTTCGAAAGCCCTAAGAAAGCAATTCCCCCTCAGAAGGAAACGTTATCGTCTGATGACGATAGCGTTATACCTGAGAAGTCGTGCCAACACACGATAGGTTACTCCGATCGTCAAGCAGACGAGTTGTACTATCGTGCTGGGGATACGAATAAAACCAGGAAGAGGAGTCCCCGAGAACAGGAAACTCAGTGCCCCTGTTCCAAACTCATTCGGGCAGTATTGTCTGAATGCAGCTGCATCAAGGCGGTCCCTGAACGAGTTTCGGTTTTCGAAAGGCTTAGTACCGAAACGCCGAAACCAAGGCCTAGGTGTTTCCGACGAAGAAGAACGGTGGTTGAAGAGGGAGAATTTCCGAGGGTCACCACCAACATGACCAGCAGAGGGACATCGGCGCGAGATAATCTCGAGTCAATTCTGAAAGCATCCTGGCCTAGAACCCGTCTACAGTCCGGAACCATCAACCGAGCAACCTATGGTAGGGTTCGGACAAGACTCCCTTCAGAAGATGAAGAATCTGATGCTGGCTCCGCGATTGCATCAGATAATACGGTGTCCAGTGAGGGATAACCCCGCGAGGCACTTATGATAAGTGCGGAGCAAGTGGCCAAAATGCTTGAAGACGCCTTAGCTAAGCAACAGGAAACCTTCAGGTTCGAAATGCAGATGGCCATGCAAAACATGAGAGAAATGCATGACCAACAAATCCAAGCACTGACGAACCAGCAAGGCGAGCCAAGTCGTCGTAACCCGGTTAATCTGGAAGACGAAGACACTAATGCGAATGAGACGCATAATGCCAATAATCCTCCCGCCAATGCAGGGGGTGGTAACGAGAATGTTAACGCAGACTCGGGTGAAAACTTGAAAATTAAAAATCTCAAGAGCAAAATCAATACATTGATTTCCGCTCAAGAGATGAAAAAGACGGGCATTCCTTGTCCATACCCAAGAGAGTGGGAATCAATCCCATACCCGGCGAAGTTCAACCTAATTAACTTCACGCCGTTTAATGGGATGGGTTCACCACTCAGCATTTGATTTACTTCAAATCGCACCTAGGAGTTATCTCCGGCAATGAGCCTCTGATGGTACGGTCCTTCGTTGGCACTCTGCGTGGAGCCGCCTTCGATTGGTATCGCCGCCTCAAGCCAGGAAGCATAAATAGCTGGGACGACATGGAAACCAAATTCCTCGCCAACTTCTTTGACGACGACACAGAGATATCCATTGGGTCGTTGCTTGATGAGAAACAGAAAGACGGGGAATTGGTTGACACCTTCGTCAAGAGGTTCCGGAACAAGGCGATGAACTGCCGGGACCCGATCATCGAGGAATTCATCCTCCAGACTTTCCACAACAACCTCGCACTGGACGTGTTAGAAGCAATGGGGACAGCACCGTCCAAGACATAGAAGGATCTGAAGGTCCGAGGAGAGCAGGCCGAGCGATTCCTCAGAAGAAAGAAGGCGGAGAGAGGCCAACAGGCAAATAATGCTCCGCAACAGAATTTCGTCCCACGGGGGAAAGGTAAGGCACATGCTAATGCAGTTGATGCTAATCAAACCTTTCAATTGAAACCTCAGCAACAACAACAGTAACAAGCACCACAACAATCTCGAGGGCAATGGCAACAACGGCCTCAGAAGCAGAAATCTTCGGAGCCAAGGTTTCCCAAAGGCAGTCACAATGGCAACAACGGCCTCAGAAGCAGAAGTCTTCAGAGCCAAGATTTCCCAAAGTATACTCCTTCAAAGATGACGAAGTTCCCGGCATCTTTAAGTATTTGTTGGAGAACAACAAAATTCAGCTACCAGCGATCGTGGATCAAGAAGGGGCTAACAAAGTGACGGATCCGAGGCGCTAATTGATGTAGGCGTCATAACCCCGAAGCCGTCCAAGAATGTTGGAGCAAACGCGGTTTCAATCAGCTTTGGATCAGTGCCCATAGCGTGGTTTGAACCAAAACGCATCACCAAAGTGGGAATGAAAATAGTAAACGACGACCCGCATGGACAGCGCCAAAAAGGACTTGTGCCACATACAGCCCCAAACGGCAAAATCCTCTGGGTTCACCCCGACCTGATTGAAGATGAACAATGGGCCGGGTCGTCATCCAAGAAGAAGTCCAAAGGGAAAGGAAAGTCTTGCTGCGGAGTCTCTGCTATCCCAGGAGAAGATGATGAAAGAATCATAGCTTTCCCGCTCTCTGAAGAAGAACAAGAAGTTTTTGCGACCCGAAGCAGAAATGAGTATCACTACAACTATCCACCACCTAGTGAGCAGGGGGTGAATAAACGGGGACCAGCCAAAACTCTCACGGAGATGGGGGTGATTACAAGTCCTACACCGGGCGAAGAAGCTAGTTTTTGCGACCCGAAGCGGAAATGAGTATCACTACAACTATCCACCACCTAGTGAGCAGGGGGTGAACAAACGGGGACCAGCCAAAACTCTCACAGAGATGAGGG